TATATATGTATACTGCGCAGAACCCTCAAACTCCCAGGCCTCTGCTAGAGGACCCAAGCTTGAGGATGACACATACCACCCCACGAGGGGTGAGAAAACAGTTTTTATATATATATATATATATTTTTTTTTTACAGGTATTAGAGTATTGCCCAGCTGAAACACCTGCTGTTGCCATATTTCATTTTCCAGTTGCTTTAGTGTGCGTGCCACTCGTAAAATAATCCTGTTTGGAGGAGGGGTTTAAGATGCATTCAAATTGTTTGGGGGGGAAAAAAAAGCTGCCAGTGAAATAGATGCAGACGGCTTAATTTGGTCATGCCAATTTGTACTTGATGGTTACAATGGAGTTTTAACTATAAACTACATTTTAATTGTTATGCATGGGGAAACTAAAGATATGTTGTGTATATTCGATAAATCACCCACCCCTAGTTCCAAAGTTACTTGAAATCCTTTAAAGTTTGCAAATTTGAAAAAAAAAAGAAGTTCCAGGCCCTGGAAAGTTTTTGAAAACTGTCATTGTTGTTCAACTCTGTTCCTTGAGCAACAATGTTAAAAAGCAACCCACTTGACTTCCAAGTTTGAAGACGTTTTGCTTCCCATCCTATGTTTTGCAAAGCTTGAAAAAGCTTCTTGAATAGGAAGCGAAATGTTTTAAAACTTGTAAACAAAGTCCAGTGGATTGTTTTTTAACTTTTTTTGCAATTGCTATGACCTGGATGACTGAGAATCTTCACCAACTGATGCCTCAATGTGTGCAGAGTTCTCACAGGTGAATTTTACTTAAGACCAGCATCATCAAGTGGGTGTGTAAAGCAGTAAATTTTAGGATGCACAGCTTTCTGCCTGCTGGTTCATTTCTGACAACATTGCAACATATAAACTTGTCTCTCTTAGATCACTTCCTTTAAATGAAGATTGAACTTTCCCCTATATTGCTTGTGTTAATTGGGAATGTTAAGATGGTTTCATTTGCTAATGATTATGAATCACAATTTTTACACTCATAGATGGCATCATGTGACTAAATAGATATGGCTGCCATATCAAAATGGTGTTAAGTATCAAGTAGTTTATTGTAACGTAGTTTATATTTTCTCGAGCTTTTAAAGCCTCACCTGGAACCTTCCAAACTTACATCCTCTAGTAGGGAAAATCTGTTCTAAATGTAAACATATGCTTCTAGTTCTTCTGTTCAAAATCCATTGTCTTTTGCCGTGAAGTCATTTCACCTTAAAAAAGGCAGTTCAATGGAATACCGAAGTCTGAAATAAATTTGCAGAATCACTTCAACCAAACAAAATAGCAGTGTGTGCTGCAAAACAATTAGCATTCGGTAATAGCATGTCTTCAATGCTGCAGTAACTGAGCAGAAAATATTTAATACTGTGGCATTCCAACCGTTCTGTGCTGTTTTCAAATTTGTTTGTGAAAAAAAGATTAGTTTACCTTGTTACGTTATTTGATGTAAAGAATATCACATAAAAATGCATTTGTAAGGTAGGTTAATGCACTGTTTTCTTTTACAACTTTCTCTGCAGAGCAGTGTGTTTTAGTTTTTTTTTTTTTTTCTTTTTTTCTTTAACCTTGGTCCTCAAGGCACACTACTGTGCAGGTTTTAGATGTTTCTCTGCTTTAAGATACCCGTTTCAAATGACCGCAGTTCAGCAAAGTCTGGAAATCAGCTGTGTTAAAGCTGAGAAACTTCTAAACCAGGGGTCTCAACCTGTAGTCTTCAGGGGCCAGTATCCTGCAACTATTAGATGCATTTCTTCTTCAACACACCCAACTCCAGTGTGAGCTTATTAGCAGAGGTATTGAGGTAGTTTAGCCATTTGATACATGTTTGTAAGGACAGGGACACGTCTAAAGGTTCCAGGACTCCAGCGCTCCGGGATTTTAGGTTAAAACCCGGATCTAAAATATGCAGTTCAGTGTGCCTTGAGGTGCACGGTTGAAAACCCTACTATAGAAGCACCTAACACTGTATTAATGTAAGCTCACAAAGATGGGGCGAAGCTCTTGCCATGTTGTTGTTTTGTACCTTTTATTTTTTATCTGTAGATGCAACCTATGCTACGAATACTGAGGTGTTCAACAAAGCTTTTCTTGTATTTTAGGCATTAAAATGTTGATTTTTCTGTTTAATTATACATTGAAATAATCGTGTCCTTTTATTTTCGTTTTTCTTTAATATTATTTAATCTCATTACCCAATTAAACTTAAGGATAATCATCATGATACTACTATAATAGCGGCTGTTGAGTACATGCTGGTATATTATAAGACTTGATTGCATTTCTCCAACTTCTACTGTGTAAATTCAAACTAATATTTACTTAATAAATTGAGTGTTTTTTTTATATTTCTAAATAAAAAGCAAGTTTAATTTTTTTTCTCCCTTCCTTTATGAATTAGAGACATTTGAAGATCTTTTTTTCATGCAAGCTTAAGCATAATTTGTTAAAAGAGAAAAGAAAATGCCAATAATGTTAGGCACTCACTGAACAAAGTCTGCTATTAGAGACTCTTTAAAGCATTGTTTGGAGTTTAAGACCTGTTGGATTTTGTGAGGATGAAGGATTTCTCTTGATAAATTGAGGACATTGTATTTCATTCAGCAATTGGTTCACCTTTACATCACCCTGAGGAACAATGCGGGGCTAAAATTAGTATTGGCATGCACTTCTGCACTGATGGAATTAAATGGTAGGCTTGTGGACTTTTACAGGTCCCTACATCAGGATTCAATCTCGATAGCTGTATAATAGTTATATGGTGATGCTAGTATCATAAAATAAATCAAACTGAATTTGGAATTATTATGTGTTATATATCTAAATGGATCCAGTTTAAGTGAAAGGGAAAATTGATGTGGATATTGTAGAGATTTAATAACTCAGGACTTTCTGAAACATTAATGTCACATTTAATTGCAACTTTAAAACAAAGTTGATTCAGACTGCATTTATTTACTACTTTTAAAGGAAGATGTCTTATCACAATTTTGCCACAATTGCACAGACATTGATGTTTGCAGTGATTGTTAATTTAGTTGCCTAATATGCTGTTTTACTACAGTTTAGTTGAAAACTTTCTGTTTTGTAACACCAATTCATTTGGAAGCTTTTTTTTTTATTTTATTTTATTTTTTTTTAGTTTCTCATCTGCCATTTTGCTTTTTGGCCAGATTGCAATTGATTTTTGGACAAGGAGACCCAATCCATGTGGCTGTGTGGGAAGGCAGACAAGCCTTTAACACCCCATTATGACTCTACCAGCAGCTAGCAGCCTCTTACTAGTTATTTTCTATCCTGTTGTAGGTTTTGATAAGTATTGTCTGCTTCTGCGTAGACAAAGAGTTAGAGAATTTAAAGTAACAGTAATGGAAAATGAAAGTAATTTATTTTAATAACTCTGTTGGACTGGTCAAAGAAATTCATAAGGGGGTTGTTGCAACGTGTTTATCCCCTCTTTCAATTTTTATTTGGGAACAAAATTGGCATGTTTGTGTTTTTTTTTTTTTCCCATTCTTGTAGGTTTTTCTTTTTGAAATGATTTTCTTGGTGCTATTGGTTAGTTGCCTTTTAGATAATAGAAGTGTTTGTGAGTTGCATTGAAATATATTTATTTTCATTTAATCATATTGACAAAAGCATGATAGTTCTGGATATTGGCTGTCAGTGATGCTTGCATATACAGCTTTTTTGCAGATTTAGAGGTTTTCTTGTGTTGTCTGTCAGACACAAAAGCACAGCTAACTAACATGATAGCAACTGCCCCAGTCTGAATTGCAAGCAAGAGTAAATAAAGCTTTGATAAATGAAGAATAGTTTAAAACGTGACATTTTGAAGCTCCATATTACCTGCAGTACTTTTCCTGATCAGCAAACCCTAAGGCAAAGATTTTTCTTCTATGTCAATTCCATGAAGTTATTTCAAAGCAGCAACAGACAAATCAGTGTTGAAGCCCATGCATCACACAGGCAGAAGAAAAATAATTAGTAGCATAGTCGTGTTTGCTGGAAAAGGAAACTCCTTTTGCAACAAACTGAATGTAGTTTATAAATATAAAGGTTAAAATCTAAAACAAGTTTTATCATATATTTAATCAAGCGAACTATTTGTAGCCAATACCATTTTCTACAGCTGTTCATTACCAAATGTGTTAATACTTTTTCCAAGATGAACAGGCATGCAATGTAATTCTGATATATAAGGGAAGGCTTGCCTAGGCCGCAACATGATCTCGGATCACAAGTAGGCCAGTGTCCCATTTCTTGACGTCATACTAAGCCAAATAAAAATGGTGATTTAGGTTTGAAGTTTTAAAATATGACAGTGATGCTTGGCATAAAAAGCCGAGTTGTCTTAATTCTTTCAAAGAAAATATTAAAATTGTTCCATTTAGATCAAAAATGTTCTCCACTGCTATATTTGCTCTTTCCTTTGCCTTCCAGGACTCCATGACCATTATAAGTGGGTAGCATATTTATTTACCTGAGCAACTTCATCAGTAAAATATACTTTGTGATCACTTTTTTCAATTTAACGCTACTTTTTATTGAGTACAATTTCTTGCTACATACGAGGGGTGGAACGGTTCACAAAATCCACGGTTTGGTTTGATTCACGGTTTCGTGGTCACGGTTTTCGGTTCGGTTCGATTCGGTATATGTTGATTGTTACACCGAAATCCCATAAAAATTTATGAAATTAATGAAAAAATCCTCCCAAAAATAATGGATTGTAATTATTTTAAATGATCCACGAAAACCCTGGATCATTTCCGTAGGTTTTCCTGCTTTGAATTTAATCATCTCGCGCATGCTCTCTACCATCTCCAAGGAACTCATAGGGGAGCGGACGGGAGCCACAGTGGGGGCTGTAGGCTTTGCTTTGAGCAGCCGGTCTGGAGTGCAGCGGGGGTTGCTGACGGAGTATGAGGGATTTCGGGGTTAGCATGACATGTTGGTCATGTTGCTGTTAGCGTAAACAAAACGTTTTGCACAATGCTTGCACACTGTTGCACTTTTATCCACAACTTTCCTTCTGCCGTCATCGTAGGTCACTCTAAATGCAAAGCGCTCCCATACAGCAGACCTATAAAGTGCTGCTGGCACGTCTTCTAACTCCTGTTCTTTCCCACTCGCCATTTTCGACAGAATTCTCCACAACAATTTTTTTTCCCCTGCTACACCCGGCTAAGCTGCTTCGCTTCTTCTTCTTCTTGATCACTACTGGTGGTTGGCTTTGGTCGCAGTACCGCCACCTTCTGCTCTGGAGTGTAAACGCTTCGCCTATGAGAAAAAGGAGCAGCGCATGAACTTAACGGAACACACGCGAATCGAACCGACACAGTCGAACCGAACGGTTTGGACGGTTTTCATAAATCGTCCCGTCCCTACTACATACCCCATGTTTCTTCATTGAATGATGAAGAAAACATTTTTAATAACTGTGTGGTGTGAAGGCTGCAGCGTTGCAGACTGGAAGAAGGTGAGAGGAGTGGTGAAAACGGCAGAGAAGATCATTGGGGCTCATCTTCCCTCCATAAAAGACATTTCATCTGACAGCTGGATGTTGAAAAAACTCTAAATCATGTCACAGACTCTGCATCATACTGACAACACCAAACCAAAACACTGCATAATTGCACCATATATATATTTAATGCCCTGAACTTCCATATCAATGCGTATTTTTGCACCATGCACACACACACTTGTTTACATTTGATCATTGCTGCACTTTAAGAAATGTAAATGTCATGAAAGCTGTACAAAACGGAATTTGGTTTTGTAAAAACTCTGTGTATACAAAATGACAATAAAAGTTGTCCAAGTCTAAGATAAAATCTTGAGATCAATGCCCATAGTCTCATTTGGACATCTTGTAAAAATGCAGTTAACGGTTTGCTACTGGAGGTTCTTTGTTCTCCTCTAACATACATACAGCTCCTAGTATTGGTTTCAAAGGTTTTATGTTGTGGAGCCTCCATTCTTACCCTGAACTTGAAGGCGTATTTTTTTATTTTGAAATTTATATCCACAAAGGTTTTGTCCTCCTCAAGTTTACTTGGCCCTTTTTGATTGTATTGAGCTCCAACCCTAATATTTTTTGCACTGGGTGCGAGCTGTAGACATAAACATTGGTTTATGCCATCACCAGCAACTTGCCAGCCTCTGAGGTTTTAGCTCAGAGCCTAGAACCTTCTTGCTGCAATGCAGTAGTGCTACCCACTGCGCCCCTGAGGAAGGTGGCTATATTCATATATTAGGAAATATAGAATTGCAACAGAAATGCCATCTACCACAATATGGCATCACTCTTCAAGTTAAATGGAGGAAAACAAATTATTCTGGAGATAAAACAAAAAAAAAAACAGAGGGAAGCATGTTGGTCTTGGGTTTTATGTTTGATAAAATGCAGCCCCCACATCTTAAACCAGGGCAAATGTTATTTTGGTGTTAGCCTTTTTACTGAAGGGAGCGTATTAAATGAGTCTTACAACTGACTTCTAGTCCCCTGACAGTCCATTTACCGCATGTAGTTATTCACAACATATCACCCAATAGAATGTAACCATCTGTGATTTGCAGAGTTGAATGGGCTGTAGACTGAAAAACAAAAAAATAAGCATATGGCAGGAATGGGAACTGCTTAAACACAAGAAAGCCTTTCAGTCTGTGTGCTTTAGAGTTGAGTTACGGGACGTCAGTGCTTCATAATGCGGGCTTTATATAGCAGTTGTTTATTCTAGGAACAAAATAATTTTCTAATCTTTTATAATTTGCAAATGTGTAAAGCTTGATTTTTGATAATTCTCAGTCCTTAAGTATTGAAATAGAAAATAACATTTTATTGATATTTTATCCAGCCATCCTTTCATTAAATTGGCCCCTTACCCGCTCAGCTTTGTCCCTGTTTTCTTAAATAAATCTGTCCGTTCTTCCTATCTGTTTTGATTTTTATATTCTTTGGTCGTCCATCTCTTTAGTCAATCTTTTGTATTTCTAGTTTATATTTTAATATCGAATTAGCAAAGCACATTTCTGTTATAAAGAATCCATTTACAGTTCTGTTATTCCCTTTATCGGAAAACGTGTTTGTTTATGTAATGTCAGTATCTCCCACTGTGGGAGTTTGTTTTCTGCAATAATCTGCGTTTTAACTTTCTTGCCTCTAGCCTCTTCCTCTGTAGATCATTCCATTTTATTTCCCAGCTTCCCACTGGCTAATGGCTAAAAGAATAAGGACCAACGCTGCTTTGTTTTCATCTGCTCCATCCTCTCTGCTTTTGCTTCGGATTGATTTTTCATTGCGGTCTCCGTGCATATGTGTATGCTAACTACTCGGTGCTGTGTGTGTGTCTGCAGGAAACCAGAGGATCTGTCCAGGGAGGTGATTCAGATCCAACAGAGAGAAATTGCTCTGAAAGAGCAGAGCTGCACACTCAGCAGCCGGTAATACATGCCGTCTGCCTCACACAAAATCCTCCTATCTCTCTTTCTCTCGTTCTTGTTTCAGACTTATTTCTCTCCTTCTGTTTGCATTGCATGGTTCTCTCTCCTCCATGTATCTATTAGAGCATATCTCTGAGAAGTCCTTAATTGTCACAAAGTTAATTAAAGTGGTCCTGACTCTGATAGCACTCCTGACAGTAGCCACTGATGTGTGTGTGTGTGTGTGTGTTTGAAATGTTGTGAGAGAGGGAATTCACTAATTAAACTTGTCCTGTTCCGACAGAGGTGATGTCTGCAGGGAGGACTGTATGCATGCTGTGGGTTATTAATGCTGCGCTGAAGTCCAGATTTTGTTGGTTAACGAGCATTTCACCTCTGCTGTGCTTATTCGGCTCATTATGACATATTAGAACCAGCAAAATTGGAAGCTGATAAATGAGCAGGAGTCAGTAAAAAGACTTTCCAGTGTAATTATTGCCCTCCGTTGTAATTATTGTCCTATTGATCAGACTTGACACAAATCTCTGCCTCAAATGATTTCTGAACCATCATCAGGCAGGCAGTTTGTCTTTGAGGGAATATAATTTTAAATTGACTTTAAATTGCTTTTCTCAAATTGTATGAAAATCTAGCCCTAATCAACACACTTCCTTTTTTTCCTAAATCTCGTTCTTTCTTTCTTTTTCTCTTTCAATGCAAATTACTTCCCACCTTTTAATTTACCATCAGTGTGAGAAGTTTGGAGCGATCCCTGTCTGACCTACAAGCAGAGCTGACCCAGCAGTGCAGCAAGGCTCTGGAGGAGCAGAAGAAGAGAGAGGCTCAAGATTCTCTCGTCCGACGTCTCCAAAAACGAGTACTTTTGTTAACCAAGGTATCTGGCAATCAAAAACAAAACAAACAAAAAAAAAAACACACACACACACACTTAAACAGCTGAAAAGCCAATTACTTCTAAAACGGTGGGTACACAGTAGGGATTTATATCTCAAGACCCACACAGAATTCCTAATCCTACCTTTTACTGCTTGCTTCTCCCTATTGGCTGGTGAGTATCATGTGGCTTCTCTGGCTGTATCTCCTGCTTCCTCCCACTCTGCAGCACTTGACTAGACCTCCTTGTGATATTGATTTCTCAGCATGTGTTATTCCCCAGGTCATCAGGCACAATCTCTTAGCACACAAATCACATACACACTTGTATACACACACACACACACAGAAGTACATTCTCAACTTGGTATGTGTAGTGAGAACCATGAGTTGACTTCCATTGATTTTCAACACATTCTATGCCCCACCCCAGACAATAACCCTAAACGCAACCATTAACATTGCATACCTCTCTAACCCTAAACTCTGTTCACAACTTAACCCTAAACCTAAGTGTTAGCAAAATAACTCAAGGACCAGGAAAATGTCCTCACTTTAAAACAACTGGACCATAATTTGCTGTTAAAAAAAGACTGTTATCACTAATATGGCCAAACAGGGCCACACATGTACACAGAAAACGCCAACACATCTGTTTTCTTTTTTAAAAAGAATGTTGTTACTCTAAGTGTTCAGCTTTTGTCTTTTTTTTGTGTTTATCAAACACTGAGGTGGTGTTTTCTGTAAAAGCACACCTGTTTTTCTGTTGTTAATGGATAGGCTGTTTACAGGTTATAGAGGTGCAACAATTAGTCGAATAGTTGTCTGTTCCTTCATGATAAATACAAAAGGTATAACTCCCACAACTTTAATTCTATGCTCAGGAAACCCAGCAGTTTACACTTTCAAGCATATTTGAGTCGAATAAAAATAAGACTAAATGAAATGGACACGCTATATTTACTGATGCTTCTATAAGACTAATTGTATTTTTTGTTTCTATATTGGATTTAAAACTAGAACTTTGATCTAAGAACTTTCATATCTGTCGTATTTATACACATAATCGGATCACTGGTGGAGCCGGGCTGTTGCGAATATTTTAGGTCAATGGATATCAATGAATTCTGCACTATAAATGATGCAGTTCACATTAACCTTTATATATGTGAAGCACACCTACATTCATCCATCTGTTTTCTGTCATGCTTATCCCTACTGGGGTTATGAGGGATGCTGGTGCCTATTTCCAGCTGTCAATGGGCGAGAGGCAGGGTACACCCTGGACAGG